CTTTCCTAAAGTGAATTGTTAAGTTTTGAACATCGATTCAGAGTCAGATTTGAGTGAAATTAGTATGGTTAGACTCGTAATTGAATAGGTTGTCGATTTTTATGAGTTTTGTTGGGTTCCGAGGCGCGGGCCCAAGTTTGACTTTTGGGTTGACTTTGAGTAAATGTGTAGAGATTCGGCCCTTATCATGTGGGATTATTTCCTTAGGCATTATTTGATATTTTTGAGTTTCTTTTGGCTAGTTTCGAGTTGTTCAGAGATTGATACGCGCGGCATGGCATTTCTACAGTATTGTTTGGCTTGCTCGGTATTGGATTTGGCTTGTTCGAGGTAAGTAACATATCTAAACTTGAATTTGAGGATATTTAACCTAGAGAACTATGTCATATGAGATGTATTGAGGTGACGCACGTGCTAGGTGACGGGTGCCGGTGCGTGCACCGAGGTATTCATGATGCGGGTAGTTCCTAGATTATTACATGCGTTATTTTGCTGTCATGCTTCTTTGATATCTTTTTTTTTCATTTATGTGACTACATGGGATATTATTCATGTTAGAAATCATGCCTTGGATACCTGTTTAATTGTTTGAGACATGATAGGGCTATTTTCGCCATGTTAAGCTATTTGCCTTAGCCGTAGTCATATTGTACAGTCATGAGAGTTGCATCTGCATGTTATATCTTGGTCTCTGTGCACTTTAGATATGCTGTCTCACATATTATTGGTGTCCATGTACGTGACACGAGTTTGAACTGTATTTGAGACATATAGTGTTATTTCGAGTTATATAATTGGACTGTGTTTCTGTGAGATGTCTGCATATTGAGACTTAGGCGAATTGATGTCTGATGTGGATCATAGAGCCGTATTTATATTGATATTTGGATCGGGTTGCACGATGCAACGGTTGATATTGAGGTGATACGTATGCCAGGCCCCACATTGGGCTAAGCTGTACTGATTTGATGCTATGCGGGCACGAGCCCCCATCATTTGGGCTAAATGATTATGATTAGCGATTGGGTAGGATCCTCCCCTCCGGAGTCTGACATGCCAGCAACGGGCGCATGTGCAGTATTTCATATACGTGTTTTGATGATGGGCAAATTTGTCAGGCACCCGTACAGTGCTAAGTGTAATTATATTAATGGATTCACGCATTGTTAGAGCATTTGAGCTAAGCACCTTGAGTGTTCTAAGATTGTGTGTATACTTAATGATTCCACTGTGAAACTGATTATTTGACATGTATATTTGGCATATAGGCATAGATATGTACCTTCCTCATGCTAGACAGTGACATGATACCCGATTACCTGACATGTATATCTGACATGTAGGCATAAAGATGTATCTTCCTCATGCTTACTGGTAACTGAAAGGTCTTATCTGACATTGTAAGTTAGGAAAGACACAGTTCCTTGATAGACTCATGTTTAATAGATTTCAGTGGTAAGATATAGGCTGGGACTATTATATTTGAAAGGCATGTCTACTTTTCTTTTCTGTATTTGTGAACGAGCTGAGTATTACATCTCCTGAGTTATATACCTTTATTGTCTTCACTATACTGTTATGAACTGTTATTGGCTATTGATGTTGAACTCTGACAATTTTCCGAGCTCGACACTTCTTTCAACCTAAGGTGTTAGGTTTGTTACTTATTGAGTTCATGAAGTCAGTTGTACTCATACTATACTTCTGCACATTGCGTGTAGACCTTGGAGCTGATGATGTTGTATATGACGGGAGCTGACATTGAAGATATACCCGCGTTCCGGTCATAGTTGCCTATTCTCCTTGGTAGCTTCACATTTGTAAAATCTGTTTATTTATGTTCCGAACAAAGGATGGATTCATTTCGTACCAGCTTTATAAATTCTAAGTCTTAGAAACTCATGATTTGTACTACCAATCCTTAGGATTTTATATAGAAAGCTCAGTTATTTTATTTATTGATTCCTGTTATCCTATTTGAGTTGTATTATCTATCAATTGGCGTACCTAGCGGGTCGAGTTAGGTGACATCACGACTAGCTGAATTTTGGATCGTGACACATATAGACCCTCGACTCAAGGAACTTTGAGGAGCGTATAAGAGGTACCGATCTCTGTAATTTTTTGAATTTCTTCTTGTTTTCAGCTACCAAATCAACTACTAAGTCAATGAAATCGGAAGTTGAATTCTTCAATTATGAAATTGACTTTGCTATTTCTGATTTTTTTTGGATGAAGAACCCTACTTTTTTCTTTGATATAAATATTTTTCCCTCTTTTTGTTTTGGAAGAAGATTGCATAGGGGTTTGGCTCGATCTTGCTGGCGTTACTTGGGGAGGGATCCATCTTTGTTGCGTGCGAAATCCGAAAGTGATCATTCAGGGGTTTTTCTAGATTGTGTAAATTGCTAGTTTTCGGAAAAATCTGTAAATGGGTGCTGAGGTTTTTGGGTTATGCGGGTGCAAATTTTTTTTGGCTACATAGGGTGCAAACTATTTACTTGGGTTGTATATACTTGAAACTTTGGGAAAAATTCAAAAATAGTCAGATTTACAAGTGGTCATTCAAAAATAGTCACAGTTTTAAAAGTAATTAAAATTTAGCCACTTTTCATGTAAAGATAAATCTGAACGAAAACACTGTTCAAAATCCGGAAAATACTCCAGCATAATATACTGGAGTTCCAGCATAAGTATACTGGAATTCCAGTATATTATAATGGAGTTCCAGCATAAGTATACTGGAACTCCAGCATAATATACTGGAGTTCCAGTATGATATACCGGTCCAGCATAATATGCTGGAAGTTTATATACATATGCTCCAATCTCCAGTATATTATTCTGGAACTTTTCGCGTGTTGGAGTTCCAGCATAATATGCTGGAAGTTCATACACAGGTGCACCGTTCTCCAGTATATTATACTGGACCGGTCCCTATTGCAGCAAAATAGTGGCTATTTTTCAATAACTTTACAAACGCTAGCTATTTTTGAATGACCAGTCCGAAAACTGGCTAGCCCGTGCTATTTTTACTGAAACTTTCTCATTGTAAAAAGGGAAAAGGGTATACTTATCCTTCTACTTTCGAAAATAGTTTATATTTAACCTTCGGTATACTATTAAAACAAAAATAACTCTACGGTTAGCAAACTTATCACATATGCCCCTTACTCTAACAGTTGTCCATTGTGGCACCACGTGGCCTGACATTTGAGGTGGATGCCATGTGGCATGCCACCTTACCACCCTAATAACGAGAATTTGAATTTTGTTCAATGTTGAACTTTTCACTTTTTTTTTGGTTCACATTTGTTTTTTATTTCTCCTATTTTTACACTAAAGAATGGGAGAAAAAAAGGAAATCTAATTAAAGAAACCCGTATAATGGCATCCATAGACTCCAATCTAATTTGCAAAGATCAGAATCCAAGGGTTTAGAAAAATTTTGTTTTGTGCCTCACAAAACTGACAACAGTTGTGTGAGGTCTCTTTTTTGTCTCACAATTATGTGGTCCCAGAATTTTATGGACCCAGATGTGTAAGATATGGGTCCACAAATATGTGAGATAAAAAGAGGCCTCACACAACTAGTGTAAGTTGTGTGAGGCACAAAATAAAATCACTCAAGGGTTTAGTTGGTGAAGAGTCACATCTGAACCTGTTTTGTTATGCATATTTTGGCTGGTTGAATATGTGATTCTTAGTCCATATTTATAGCTTCCTGATAAAAATATATTTATTTAGCTGCCTGTTATATAAAATACCTACTGCTGCTAGGTATTTGAAAAATCTTATTGAATATTGTCTACTTATATTCCTCCCCCTCCCCCTCCCC